GAATTTGAATATTTTAACTTTTTAGCATTTTAAAGTAAATTAGTTACCAGTCGTGAAGTGAACTTTCGCAGAGGTGAACAACTTGTGTTTCGCGCGCTCATATGACCTTAGCAGTTGCGAGCGCCGTAAAACCTTATACTACTACTACTACTACAGAGGGTCAAGGCAGATAATAACGTGAGGAGGAAAAGACGACCTTTGTATCGAGACCAAATTTTACATTGTAGTGTTTATTTTTACCGGCGTAATTAAGGCCTATTTTAGCCGTACTTTTAGCACAAACTGTGAGTAATGTGATTGCCTGCCTGTCTGTAGGTTGCATTTTCATGGACTTATAGACAGTTTTAGGCTCTAGAATGTATTTCCCAAGATGAGCAAGTGGATACAGAATAATAATATTGCATAAACAGAAAATCATAAAATTGAAGGAAATATTCCATTCTCACTGCCGACCTTGGCCTTAATTTTTGCAACTTTTCGTCAGGACTCATACTTCTTTTACTTTTGCAGATGCTGAGACTGCAGAGGATGGTAGCGTCATGGAGAATGGCGAAGGGCCAGGGGTCTCTGTGGATACTCAAGCTGCTGAGAATGGAGTGGCTGGAATCACCTTGGATGGTGACAAGGATGAGGCTGAAGGTAGGGTCTCTGATTGTTCAAAACCACGCTTTATACTCGTCCCACGAGCAGTGGAATTGTAGTTGAAGTGGGGGGTCCCCACCGAGCGCCTTATTACCTCTGTGTCACGTGGATCAGCTCCCTGTCGCTGCTTTGTCTGGGCTGACTTAATTTTTGGTACTCTTCAACTTAAAGTTTTATGTGTATTCTTCTACTTCTGGCGATTATCATTTAATGCAGCCAAAGCCTGCATTTCTGCTCTTGAGGAGAGAGACTAAAAAAAGAACGGACATTGTAGCTTGTCTAGCTATTTTGTTAGACGCGCTGAAGTCAGCAATGCTAAATTGTGAATTTTTTTTCCAAATGAGAATGGGAAAAAAAATCAATTTTGAGAAAATGATTGGACAAAAATTGTCCAACTTTTGGGACATAACAACATAACATAAATGGAGATGCTTACAAAAAATGGTATCTGCACAGATTATAGAAAGCCGTATTTTTGCACCTTTATCTATCTGGCACACAATTAACTAATAAATAATTATTTCACATACGACTTTTGTGTCTAATACAATCGTGAATGTCCGCATATTTTCACAAAAGTTATAAAATTTACACTGTGGTCTCTACACAAAAGTATGAATTTATTTAAGTGCCAGAATACATCTGCAATGCAATACATGAAAAGAATCTGTTACACTCCAGAAATTCCTTACTTTTCTTAAAATGCTAAGTCTAGGTTTTGTAAGTTGACTGAAGAATATGACAGGGATTAGTTGTAGGAACTGGGTTTTCAGAATAGTTTCTAATTTGCTAATGACACTGAATCAGTACCAGACATTTCCAGCTATTCTTTCCGTTTCTGTGACCATTTGCAAAGACTGACCACAGTCTGATTTCTTTTCATAAGTGCCCGCGTATATTTCCGACCCAAAAACTAAGAATTAATGTATTAGCTTACTTTGTATATTCCATTCAAGAAGTTTATCTCTACTCATGTATTCACAGGTTTGGTTTTTTTTTTTTGGGGGGGGGGTTAATGGCATATTTTTCTTAGTTTTATGAAGGCAGCTGCAAATTCAGCATAATTCATGAGCAAATGGAGTACCTTACTTCTTTTGGGTACTTAATGGTAAAGCAATGAGCCAGTGCTGTGTGTATTTTGTCCAAAAAATGCAGATGTCCATCTTTCTTCTCTTATAATTTGACTATTGCTACCTATGCAGATTTAAGATTTCTCATGATAAAAGACATGATATTCATAGTCAGTTTAACACAGATTTTGGAGAGATCAATTTAGAGCAAAGGGTTCTGATGGGTCCCAAGTCGGTTTCTTTTGGTTTTGCAAGAGTCAAGGCAATAACACCACCGCCCCACCCCCCACCCCCAACAATGATGAGCCCCACCGAGTTTGCCAAGATCTCTTTCATCATGTCTTTGTTTATGTTGCATTTATCCTGTGACCCCTGTCCTTGACACTGATGCCCTAGGAAAAGGGACTGTCCAAGGCCATTGTACGATTTTTATCTTGCATTTCTCCTCATTTCCAGTTACTATCTCTGTTATCTTTATAAAAGAATAAGTCTATTTGAAAATGGTTACAAAATACAGGCAGAAACCGGGGAAAAAATAGAAAATGTTTTCTCTTTGATGAGTGGAAACCATGTTAGCCAACAAATTGCCCTGTGGTGGTGTATGTCAGTGTCAATGCGTTTTTGTCGAGTAAATAGCAGTCCACCAAGTAAGGCTGTGATTTAGTTAAACTCGTTTTACTGAGAGTGTTCAGACAAGCTTCGTTAATGAGCGCAGTGGAGCCGATAATGGTACAAGTGCTAGTTTGAAGTTACTCATGACATTTTATATGGTAATATAGTTAATAAAAAAATATATATGAAATATTTTGAGTGAAATATGTGTTGTTAAAATTAAGTTCTGTCCTTTCCTTATTAGGTGATGCTGCGGAAGAGGCAGGAGGGGAAAACAAAAAGAAAAAGAAGAGGAACAGGAAAAAGAAAGGTAAAAATTATCTTTTTTCAAGGGTTTCGTTGATACTCTAGCAATATCAATTTGAAGTTTTTTTTGTGTTTTTTAAAATGCAGGTGTTTTTCACGACCACATCGACACAGTTTAAATCATTTAGGAGGCAGGCTTCAACTATAGTCTCCTGTGGGCAACAGTGAAGCACCTAAACACTACACCACAGATGCCAGTCAGCATTGAAGTGAAACTGTACATAATGGCAATAGCTCGATGACATGTTATATGTATGTTTTGTTTTGGGGGGGGGGGGGGGGGGGGGGGTTCTTTTTTACATATGTTTTTTCCTTATTGTGTTGTTTCGCTGATTGTCTCCTTTGTCAAGACATGAGTGTAAGACTCCGCCATATACCATTTTGAAAAATGACGCATGACGGAGTATTTGTTTTATTTTAGTAAATATTTTATGGCACTTGCAACGCAATAAGGTCATATAAGTGCCGAAGATTAGAGGTATTGCAAGGAGAGAGTAACAAACACAAAAAGGGGAGATAAGGACCATAGATGTTTGATAGGAAAGAAGGAGCAAACCTCATCAGAGCACCCTCCAACTACCCAGTGACGGAGTCTTATTACACTGAACAGCCAGTATGATATGGCCTTAGTGGAACTTCCATAAGCTGGCCATTTAAGCATGAAGTGGAAATAATTCCCTCTTTCTTGGATATTTTTCTACTACGACATGCCCTGACTTTCAAAATGATTTGCACTGAATCTAGAAGTATGTTTGTTCTGCATTAGTAATTCTTAAAAATGAACCGCCAACATTTCCTGTGTGGTTTTATCCTGTCATGGTTAAGCATGTAATGTTAAAAACTGGATGTAAGCGCAGTTGTAGAGAGACATCCCAAGTTCAGGAGGTTCAAGAGATTCGAATCAGGGCCCTCCGCTCCGTAGTTAGCATGATACTAACTGGGCTAACGGTGTGCAGTTTCACAGTATCTCTGATGGCTGAAATATGCTACACTGCATAAAATAATAATGAGCATAAGCAGTTATATTAGGTGAAACTTTGAAGCAAATTGAAGAGTTGCTCTGAAATTTGGCATGTTTGTTAATATCAGGAGCTGCAGGTGATGGGTCAGCTGCCTCGGGGGCTAAACAACAAACTGTGCCTCCCTCAATACCCATAGCAGAGCTGTTCCCAGAGGGCAACTATCCTGAAGGAGAGATCTGTGAATACCCAACTGATAAAGACGGGTAAGTAAATTCCATAAGTTTTAGTACAAATAAGTACGTCGCTTTGTTTTGTGATGAGGTAGGCGATCACACTATTGGAGTCTTTCCTCAGCCTGTGAGGTTTTTAGGGGTAGAATGGTAAAAGGGGATGAATGTCGGGTGTTTCGAGACAAGTTTGTTTGGAACAGTTTGAGATATAAGTCGAATATAAAGTTGGGCACAGATAACACGAACAAGCAAAATTGGAGTGGTTGGTTGGTGGGTGCTCTTGTGTTGTTTGGTCCTTTTCCTATCATATATCTATCGTCCATATCTCTCCTCCTTTTATTTGTACGTTACTATCTAGTAACACCTCTAATCTTCGGCACTCATAAAACGCATCTGCACTCGATTTACCCATAGCAACTTAAAGTAAATCTATGGTCTAGATCTAGCTTTTCTACCAATTTTTCCAAGCAATAAAGTCAATCAGATCACCTCGTTTTTCAAGATTTATGTCTACTTTCACATTCATTGCTGCTTATATCCAAAACAAAACCAAAAATATGGTTCGCGTATATTAGCAAACACAAAAATAACTGGCACAGCTGGGGGGTTTTTTGTGGTTGTTTCTCTTTCTTCTCGACACTTAACTTATTTTATCGCAATTTTTCTTAATTGATATTTAACTCTCTGGGCGGTGCTTGCGACATAAGTCGCGCCAGCTTTCCAGTGTAATGGCCGGCGCTCGCAACTTATAGCGCGCCGGTACCCTACGTCATAGGAGGCTTTATTTCTCTTCACCGTAAGGGTACACAAGCAATATAACACCGGCAAACGCTCCGGAAATGAATTTCCTTTGTTTTGTGCGCAAGTTCGGAATCCGTACCTATTTTTTACTACTTTTATGAATCAAATTCCGACTCCGTGTTCTATTCAAATGTTTTGCGCCATCACGATGGATACTTCTTCATCTACACGAGTGACCCAGCGACAATCTAATACAAATATTCAACAATTACTGGATGAAATCTATGATGACTTTGATGGTGAGAGTGAGAGTTCTAGATCTAGTGATGAGATAAGTTTGCCAGTTGTTGATGAATCAAATATTATAGCTCGTGAACCCATTCAACAAGCAGGCACTAACCGTGTGTTCGAAACAGATGAGAATGAAGGATGGATTTGTGAGTCGACTCCACCACTTTTTGAGCCATTTACTGGTCAATCACAAGTAAAAATTCCACTAAGTGATGATCCTCAGCCTTTTGAATTTTTTAGATATTTTATAAGTGAAGAAATAATTCAGGACTGGTGTAACCAAACCAACAATTATGCTGCTCAGAAAGGTGATGTGACATACGAACTACCACCCAACTCCCGTATTCTCAGCTGGAAAGATGTCACCCAAGATGAGATGAGAGCCTTTTTAGCTCTGATAATTGCCACAGGACTCGTCAAGAAAGATGATTTGGATAAATTTTGGTCTACTGATTCGGTCATCCGCACGCCTTTCTTCTCGACGCACATGTTTCTCAAACGTTTTGAGAACATTCTCTCAAATTTACATCTTGTCGACAACAATGATGATGACAAAACTGATCCCTTGTTCAAGGTCCGACCATTCTTTGTCCACCTCGGACAAAAGTTTGTAGATGCATACTCACCGGGACAAAATCTAAGTTTTGATGAAGCTACATGTGCTTTCAAAGGTCAAAGGCCGCCTTCGTTTCAAGGTCTACAACCCTAAAAAACCAGCCATGTTCAGAATAAAAATTTATGAAGTCTGCGAGTCTGAGTCTGGATATTTGTTGGGTATGAATGTTTACACCGGGGGAGAAGCAGAGGAAACTTTTTCGTCTTTGGCTGGTGTATCAGAGGAGTGTTGTACCACTACAAAGCTTGTAGTAGGATTGCTCGCTTACTGTGGACTGCTAAACAAAGGGCACCATGTCTACCTAGACAATTATTACGTCTCATCGGAACTCTTCGATGAGCTGCATTTACTTGGGACTGGTGCATGCGGTACAGTGAGGACCAACAGGAAAGAAATGCCTGATGCCATAAAGAAAAAAGCTGGTATCAAGCTCTCACAAGGAGAAACAATTTTTAGGCAGAGAGACAACTTACTTGCTCTCAGACATGAACAAGCGTGACGTTCATATGCTGTCCACCATCCACGACACAAATCTCGTCACTCTCACCAAAAAGGACCATGAAGGCAACCCGATAGTTAAACCTGAAGTGATTGTTCAGTATGTAAAGAACATGGGAGGGGTGGATCTGAGTGACCAACTTATGAAGAACTATGCGTGCATTCGGCGGTCTGTGAAATGGTGGAGGAAATTTTTCATGCATCTTTTTTGTGCTACATTGTGCAACTCCTACATTTTGTACAAGAAGACAGTGAGAAACCCTGTTGACCACTTCGAATTTAGGAGCCAGATTGTAAAATCTTTGCTGTTGGCTGCACCAGGTAACCCAGGACCCTCCAGTAGTGGCAGAAAGTTATCTGAGGTGCCAGAGAGACTGAACCGAAATTTTCCCCATTTTCCCAAATATTGTGAGCCGAAGCCCGGAGCCAAGCGACAGAAACCAATGAGAGACTGTGTTGTGTGCAATATTCCCAAATCTTCCAGAAATGGCTGTAAAAGGACACAAACATCCTTTGAATGCAAGCACTGCAAGGTTCCCCTCTGCATTCCAGAGTGTTTTGAAGCATTTCACACAAAGTTGGAATACAAACCGAGAAATTAATGGATAATTTCTCGTAGATCAGCAAAAAGTGAGTACAAATATTTTTTTTGCTCACTAAATCTTGTGTTCATGTTATAGTTCATTCATTTCTCTTTATTTTGATGCATGGTGTATGTCTCTATCTTTTATAGTTTTTTTTTAATGATTTTTTTTCTAACACCACTGGGTTACAACAGAATAGCCTCAAAATAATCCGCCGCTGAGGGGAACAACTATAGCCTTGATAATCCACCACCCAAAGAGTTAACAACTTTGATAATTTTTTGTGCTAAGAATAGAGGGAACATGTTATTCATATCATAGGGGATCTTTTATTTCTCTTGGAAAACAGGGAAACGTGGATAAGAGCTTGGCTTTGTACAGTAATACTCGCTGCCTCTATTTACATAGACCGGCCATTGCAAGCGCATGTGGGCCCTACATATATGTACATAGGCCAGGTGAAATGAGTTATAAATTTCTTACTTAAACCAAAACTAAATTCAAAATCAGGGATAGTTTGTATAACAAGCTATTCGCCAATTGGTCCGCTGTATTTTCTTTGTATTGGCAACAATTTTTTCAAAGACTTACTTAGATTTGTCGAACAGATTATCATGAAAAATAAACGATTAAATGTAAAGCACTTGGATTTCCATGAATCTAGTCACGTGAGGGTGGACAGTGGGTTTTGATGGACGACACAGTGTGGCGCTTCATTGGGCCTTATGGTGTGTGAATTGTGTTTTTGTGTGTGTGTGGTTGTTTAATCGTGAAGGTGTAGATCAGGAAGTGTGTATATAGATAACACAAGAGGGGTGAGTGGCGTGTTTGTTACATCATTTTAATCATAATCTAATTTAAGAGGGATTCTATTTCTGTTGAAGGCTCATCAGCAACGCTCTTCTTTTCACAAGTTTTGATGCCAAACAAGGCGCATGCACTATCCATCCTTCTGTCCTTTTATAAGTACCAGGCTCTTTTCACGATGGCAGAGAAGAGAAAACTTTAATTGTCTAACAATACAAACGAGGCATCAGTTTTTAGCAGAGGTTGTCAAGCAGTCCTGCTCTAAGTCAGAAATTAATAAGAGATTTGGCATCCCCAATTCAATGCTTTTCACGTATCTAAGAAATCGAGGTAAAATTGAAAACACCAGCATTAGATTTCACCTTAACAAGAAAGGAGCATGCTTTGCAAAATTTTAGAACATGAAACTGGCATTGTTTTAGCAAACATATGCTGGGTCTCTTCATAACTCTGCTCCCATCCTGATGACTAAAGCAGACAAAATCGCAGAGGAAATTGGCCTTGACTTCATATGCAACACATGATGATTGGACAAGTTCAAAAAGAGACAAGACATCACCGAAAAAGTTGTGTGCTGCGAATCAGTTACAGTGAATCCGTTGTAGTGATATATTTTCCCACCATTGCATTGTTATATTTACCAGCCTTGACTTTCGTGAATGTCTGTTTACTTTTTCATTTTATCAAACATCTATCGTCCTTATCTTTCCTCCTCCTTTTTTGTGTTTGTTACTCTCTTGTAACACCTCTAGTCTTCGGCACTAATATGACCTTATTGTGTTGCAAGTACCGTAAAACTCTTACTAAAACAAACAGGATATGTCAATCACATTTTTCGATCCCCAGTGTATCTGAGTTATGCGGGCCTCATTGTATGTAGATATGTCAGCTTTTTTATTCTGTGTTAAATGTGGAGGGATTTTGTCTAGTTCGGTACAGATATCAGCAGGGCTTGTAATGTTAACATCAACAACACTGCCCATCGTTACAAATTTGGTGGAATCATTAACGATTTTTGTGTACAATTTTACCAAATTACAACTGTAACACCCCTGATTCTGATTTTTAAGAATTTATTTGCCATTCAACTACCGTAACCCCCACACACACACACACACACACACACATACACACACACACATACACTTACGCACACACAAACACCCCCCCCCCCCCCCACACACACACAAAATAAGAAAAACAATCAGACCCCTGCATCACATATAGCTGTCTAGCACCCTCAGTAGTCAAAGCCAGGAGTGAGGAAAGCCTCAGTTTGACATGGTGTTAAGAAATGCCTGTGCTTTTGTCTTGGTTGATAAAGCACATCAAGGAAGCCAGCATCTGGTACACTTCAGTTGTCTATGAATGTAGCTTCAAATATTACTGGAATGTACTGTCAGCCGCAGATAACACAAACACTGGAAAGTCAAAGTCAGGGATGGGGTCATACAATTTGTCATTTCCCATCAGATAAATCTCTTTTGATTTTTTACTATATGGTTTACCCAAACTATGGATGTGTCAAACACATTTGTCTATCCCTAATGATCTATCCGTGCCCAGCAGTATATATTATGTAGGAGATTGCTCTCGTTACAACTTTATAATTTACACTGTGCTTTTGGAAAGTTATAATCCTTTTATAGCAATATTGCCTTGTTTTTCAGCCGAACGGCCATGAACAGAATGACAAGTGAGGACAAAAAGATGCTGGACCAGTCCCACAGCCAGTTGTATGAGGAGATGAGGTTAGCGGCGGAAGCCCATAGACAGGTACTGTTGATTAACAAAAGTCTCAAGCATCTGACTATGAGAATGTGTTTTGTTGGAGCTGTAGTGCTTTTGAAGTTATTCCCATACATGAAGGGGTTCATTCCCTTTTTAAAAACTGAGGAAGCTTGTCACAATCTATCGTGTGCAATTTTGTTATAGTCACAATTTTTTACTGTCTTTGAATGTTTCAAAATCTGGTTAAATTGAGTGACCACATGCTAAGAGTTATTGAAATGCAGAACAATGAACTTTATTACTACTTATCTGTTTTTGTTACCGATCGAGAAGCTTGTTAGCTGTCACCTTTTCACCCTGTGCTATAGTAGAATGATGTCTTTAAATACAGGGCAAGAAGGGAGTTGCTCTATATATTGGAAACAACTTTAGATCCAGTGAGTCCCTGAGAGTTTGTCAAGTCCTGTGTGTTCTTTCTTCTCTTTTCTTTCAGACACGTCAGTACATGAAGTCTATCATCCAGCCAGGGATGAAGATGTTTGACATTTGGTAATTTTTTTTTCTTCCTTTTATGTTTGTATTATATTCTTAGAATCAAATTTTGATACAACGTTTGATAAAGAGAAGTGGGCCCCCTTACCCAGAACTTACCAGTAAGATGCCCTGTAAAAAGTTCAGCTACAGTCCTCATGGTAAACTGCCAGGCCTAAGGATTGGCATGGTTTTGAATAGTTTGAAAAATGGAAATTTAGTGAGCCCCCGGAGATACCTGGGGAAAAAGGATTTGATGTTTAAACGATTTTTTTCTTCAAACTTTTGTATTACATTGATAAGACTCTTTGTTTAGATCTCTTTCATGGTATTCGGCCATTCCTAGTGCAGACTGCCAGTATCGTGGGGAAAAAAAGTTGAAGATTGAACCAGGAGTATTGAGTTGCTGCAAACTTCTTTGAAAGTGGTAGTGTGTTGGGTAGAATAACCATTGCTCTTTTCATTGTGTACTTGGGAAGACAGTGAGGTATTGCATCATGGAAGCAAGACTTTGCAAAGAAAACAAGAAATTACAGTCAAACCTCATTATACCGCCACCCTTGGGACGGGCTTGAAGTTGGCGGAACAGGAGGGTTGGCGGTTCAAGGGGGTTCCTTTGTTGCATAGCCCCGATTGCCCATTGTCAAGGAACATGATTCTGCTGTGCATCTGTGGGGGGGGGGGGGGGGGGGGGGTTAGTAGCAAAGCCAATCCCAATCGTCGCCATATCCGCTACCTATATTTCTAATATTTTCTATGTGCAAAAACGTAACAAAAAAGACTACTTTTTAAGACAGAAAAAAATTCATTAAAAAGTTATTTTATATATGCGATTTTCAGAATTCAAAAAGTATTGCAATTTGCACACCAGTGTTTATCACATAAGCTTATCAGCACGGTAGAATAATGATTTTGAAAAAAAATCTTTCCCACTTTTTATGGGTGATATACTTGCACATGGACATGTATTCAGAGCCGAGTCTTCTCTCTCTCTCTCTCTCTCTATTTCTATGTCTTTCTCGTGGAAGAAAGATTATCAAGTAGCCAACCAGTGGGTGTGTTCTCCGTTTGCTGTCAGTTCGCTGGCAGTATGGCGGGGTGAATTTTCATTAGTTAAATAAGGACCGAACAACTCAGACAGTTGGCAGATGGCAAAATACTAGGCCTATGTTTATAAAGACATTCCTTTTGTATCTGTACCTGGTCTGCACTTGTATAGTTAATTCCAGTCACCATAAAGGGTATACCATAAGAAGTGCTGAGCTGTCTTTTAGAAGTGGTAAGCTTTATGAGTGTTTTTGTCTGCTGTAATAGGTGGAAAAGATTCTGGCAGTTGGGGGGGGGAGGAACACTGTCTAAAAAGGGCTCCAGCAACCTGATAATTGTTACAGTGTCCTAAAAGCAAGGTTTGAGAGACTCCTTAAAGACAAAAGATTCTTTTTTCTTTTGTGTCACAGTGAAGAGTTGGAGGCCACAGCACGCAAGCTGATCAGGGAAAAGGGCTTGGAGGCTGGGCTGGCTTTCCCAACTGGCTGCTCTCTAAACCACTGTGCTGCCCATTACACGCCCAATGCTGGGGATCAGACTGTTCTTGGTTATGATGATGTCTGCAAGATTGACTTTGGAACACACATAAATGGTGATGCCTACTGTCTTTTCCTGTGAATTTTATAGATTTTCCTTATACAATTTGTGCTTGAAAATCAATTATATTGTTTCTGATCTTTCTTTTTTTTGTTTAGGCCTTGATATAAGTTTATTGTTCGTTTGTGAGTTGGGTTGTTGTTTTTTGTTTCTTGGTTTTTTTAAAGGGGGGTTGAAAGGTTGTACTCTCTTTAGAAGGCCATCACACATCTTATTTGATTGATCTGTGTTCATTTAGAAAAACATATGTGTTGCACTTTTGCTTTTTTTTTTAACATGGAGGTGGGAACGAGTGTACTCCTGGTTTGAGTTTGGGGTGGTAGTAGTGCTGGTAAGAATTTACTTGTAACTTTTCTCTTTGGATCTTTACTTTTACAGGTCATCTGGTAGACTGTGCCTTTACACTCACCTTCAACCCCAAGTATGATGAGCTGCTGAAAGCGGTAAAAGATGCGACTAACACGGGCATTCGAGAGGCAGGTATTGATGTCAGGCTGTGCGACATAGGGGAACGAATCCAGGAAGTGATGGAGTCTTATGAGGTCGAGCTGGATGGAAAAACCTATCAAGGTGAGGAAAACTGAGAGTAAAAGGCTTGTAAATGAGCCTAGATAAAGTAAAAGTAGAGATCAGAATGGAAGATCAGCCTTTTTTCTTTGAGTCCACGCTAGACTGTCTGTCTTGCTTTTTGGCATCAAAGTATCAAATCCTCCTGATTTGTTGAGTGACATGTTATGTTAAGGAAATATTGCTACTGTCTGGTAATAACCATAGTATATATAGATCTAAGTTTTTGAGAAAAATAAATGTGCTGTAACAGTTAACCTCGGAAATAACTTTTGCAACAAGTGCTGAAAACAATTTAGTAGTCTGTATAACTTAATTGTACTCATTACTGTATTAGGAAAAAAATCAGATCAGTTGTTTAAAACTTACAACTAACCTGTAAAGGGAGAGAAATAGAGGTGGGTGGTTGGCGGGTGCTCTGGTGTGGTTTGCTCCTTCTTTCCTAACAAACATCTGTCGTCCTTATCTCCCCTCCTTCTTTTTTATGTTTGTTACTTTCTTGTAACACCTCTAATCTTCTGGCGCTCATATGACCTTATGCAGTTGCGAGCGCCGTAAAACCTCTACTAAAACAAAACAGGATTTATATGACCTAATTGTACCATAAAAACTCTTCCTAAAGAGAAATAGAGACAGGTGTCTGTAGGTTCTTGTGTTGCCTCTTCCTCAGTGTTTCAGATGGAGAACTGTGTGGACAATTATTCAGCTATACTCTTTTGTAATTTTGGTTAAAAACAGCTGCTCATGAATTGCTATGGACTGATTTTTTTCTTTGGAAAGGTTATGCAAAATATGGATTAGGAACAATCTTGTCAGTTTGTCAGTGTTTTTGGCAGCTGGATGTTTCTGAGTGTTCTAGGGTCTGCTGCGGTAATAATGAATGCACAGAGCATAGTGCATGCTGTAGAGTGTGGATAGGCGTTACATAAATGCAAATAATATAATCATCATTATTATAAACCCTATCCGTATGTCGTGTTTTACTATCGTATCCATACAACGTGGAGAACTCTGTGCCACCACTTTCCAAAGAGGAAATTTACTCGTTAATCCGATCGGTACGCTTTGCATAGCAGTCTGTAAAAATTATTTTTGAGAACTACTGAAAGTTTCAAAGAGATCTTCGTACTAGAAGTACAGTCAAACCTGTATAAGACGGAATCGCAAGAGAGCCAGAAAAAATTCCATCTTAAGACATTTTCCGTCTTAGACAGGGGAATTTAGGGGAAGATGGAAGCAGGGCTGCCTAAATGTACCGATTTTTCAGGTTGATACTGATTTTGGGCCTGTTCTACCACCGTACCGATAAGGTGTCAAAACTACCGGATTTGCGATGGGTACCGAAAGAAGAGGAAAAAAACCTCCATTTTGCAGTACTTCCATGCTTCCATTCTTCTTTGTTTTTGCGGAAATTTGTACATTTCGAAAGTTTGGTATTTCCTCCCTGCGTTAAAGAAAAAGAGAGAGAGAGAGAGATCAGCACCGGCCTCCGTAACTTGTCAGATATCTACGGCAACTTTTCGGCAGCAAGTTGTATTAGAAACTGCCAGATTGCGCATTCGTACCCTCGACCATTGTCTATCTGTGCTGTTCGGTGGGCAATAGTTTTTCACGTGCATATCGGCTAAAATCTGTCTTCTCACGATAGATAATCTTCTTCCTTCTTCATATCGCATGGGACTGCTGGAATCTGAAGGAAAAAAATTCGCTGAGACCGGAGAAAATGCACAAAGTCCTCGCAACCAAATCTGAAAAGGCTACTTAGACCTGCATGTTTGCCGACAGTCGTCTGAAATCCGACAATCGCGACCCGACCCGCGAACCGGCCGATGCTATCGCTAGGCCCACCTGTATCAGTCAATGTGCGAAGTGCGAGGCCTGGCCGACTGCCAGCGCCCCCTTTTCCTCCCGTCGGCTTTGTCGGCACTTTTCGTTTTCGTGCCGACCGCCGACGTGCGCTCCGCCGACTGCCGACGTCGGCGTTTCCGACATAATTGTCGGAACCCGAGTAGAAATGCGAATACGAAAAAGGACGACGAGCTAAATTATCTACTTTCAGTTTCGTGCTCGAGCGGCCATTTTGAATTTCGTTTGTTGACAAATTCAATTGTTGAGATCGTGTGGATTCATTCACTCACTTGACTTGTTCTAATAGAATCTAGATCTAGATCTAGATTTATATAGATCATTATAGACCTCAATGAAGGATTCATATTCCAATTCTATTGTGTCAAACCCTATCGTAGTCATAGGTTGTGCTGTAATATTAATGTTGGTAAAAAGCATTTCATCAGGTGCGTGAATTATTTAGAATCTAGATTATACTCAGCTGAGTCCCTCTTTTCGGAATCGGATGCGGATTTCTAGTTCAAGGCCTATTCCTATTCACTTGTTCTACAAGATATCGATCTAGATTTATTTAGATTACTAGATCTAGATCTATATATCGTCGGCGGAGAATTCTAACTGTCCAACTCCGATTTCGTAAATTTTACAGGAGAGACAAAAAACTGAATTCAAAGGCTCTTAGTCTTAAGGGGATTTACTGTCTTTAAATGTGCTAGACTGGAATACATGACTCTACTTTTAAGTATTTAAAACAAAATTGCCGAAATTTTATTATTTTAAGTCCTAAACCAGAGTTATACGGATAGACTGCTCAGTTTTGGATTTCTAACCGTCCAAGTGTCGACGAACGAATTGTTCGTTTAGAATTCTCCAACCCGGCGGGGAAGCCACGCGCTTCGTTACGTCTAACTCAGTCATCGTGACACGTTAGTGTTACCGAACAACTCGAAATGACTACACCTGCAGTCAATTCAATAGGAAACCTACTATAAGTTTTAATTAGTACTACATAGTACTGTAGATCTAGAATCTGACAATAATACTTTTATTATATCTAAAACTGAACGTCGCACTTTATTTCCACATAATTCTAATTAGGCAATGGGCTTGTCGACAGATTAAGTGCGTCGTTAAGTTTTTACTATTAAGCTACTATTTGATCCTCCAATCTCAAGGAAATTGTGAGAAGGATTGGTTTCTTGTCTAGCTTCAAGAGAGAGAGAGAGAGAGATTGAGAGAGAGAGATTGAGAGAGAGAGAGAGAAGGGGGGAGGGACTGAGAGAGAGAGAGGGGGGAGGGGTCTGAAAGAGAGAGAGAGACAGAGAGAGAGAGAGAGAGATTGAGAGAGAGAAGGGGGGGGACTGAGAGAGAGAGAGGGGGGGGAGGGGTCTGAAAGAGAGAGACAGAGAGAGAGAGAGAGAAAGAAAGAGAGAGAGAGAGAGGGGGGGGGGCAGAGAAGAATTTCCGTATACGAATTGTCTTCATGGAGCTTCTTTTATGGCTACTTTTTTCCTGTTTGAAGTGCAGATTCTGTCGCAGTGCTTGCTCTCTAGTCACTAGCATAATAGTTCTTTCATTTATCCTTTTCCTCCATGTTTTCTTGTCATCGCTTATTTCTTCACAGATGCTGACATCTACTTCAAGCTTAGGTAATCTGTTTTTGCAGATGTCTTTGTACCTCAGTTTTGACCTTCCCCTTGGTCTCTTTCCATGGGCAAGTTGACCATAGAGAAATTGCTTCGGAATCCGGTTGTCGTCCATTCTCTTGACACGGCCCAGCCATCTCAATCTTCTTAAACACAGGATTATTTGTAGGGTTGATTCATTATGAGCGACAACAGCAGCATCACCGGCAAAGAAAAGGTCTCGTATTCTTGTTTGGTTTGTTGATGTTGGTCTTGGCTCGAAGTTGAGCAAGATTGAAAAGGGACCCATCAGTTCTCCAGTGGAAGAAACTGAAATGCTTCTAACTCTAAAAAACATGATTTAACTTGGTTGGAAGACTCTAGAAGTAATATGATTTTTTTTTAAAGCTCAACTAAACCTCATATAATGCATCTCCACCTAATGTATGGCCTAATTAAATAACACATTTTACATGAAAGTCATCAAGATGAGGTATGCCATAGCAGCATCCAGTGTCAACAGGAATGAATTATCCTCTTGTCCAAGCACCATTATGACGCTTTAAAATGCTCTACCCAATGAAGCTAAAGCTCTGGTTAGCTAAAAATTAACTACATAAACCAAAACACAAAACACTGCATATCAAGTTAGACTTAACCGTGGGTTTTAACTTGCGCACTGGTGACGTACTCAGTTCTAGATTGTCATAGAACTTGTGGTAGTCAGATGGCACAACAGACTTCATTTCTTGCATGTGTTATTAAAGTTCTCTATGGACGAATCAAACTTTCTACCCTGGTACAAAGGCAGTCCCTTCATGTCTTTATGGAGAATGTCTGTGGGCTCGCCGCGCTTCAAAGGCAGATGTGACCAGTCATCATCAAATCTCAGTTTGTATTTAATTTGACCATCTGGTGTGAAAACTCTGATTGGTTAGTTTGATGAAATCAGAAAAGATACAATGAGTCAAATACTTGACTACATATGGCTTCACTTTCCTACTTTCTTCCATTAGCCTGACATAATCAGCTGTGTAGTAGATGTGCTGTGAGCACTGTCCAACTCCATCTGTGTATAGTCCTTCTCTAGGAATTTTAATGTTACAGTTTTACCTTTGACAGAGCTGAAATGTAACAGTGCAAAACTCATTGTGACTTTGCAGTTCTGATACAACCACATCCATCTGAATATAATGATTTGGAGTCAAATCAGATGACAAAAAATCAACCACACAAGGAGCAAATTTATGTGCAGTCAGAGCACCTTCGAATTCATTTGAGACATAACATACACTACCCCCCCCCCCCCCCCACATACACACACTCATACTTTTCTTTATACAAACGGCGGTGCACTGCCTGTAAGCTCTGGAAAACAGGTTCCAAGTATAATTTACTGGAGTCCCTCGGCAATAGTGAGACGGCAACTTGGGCAGATCACGAAGAAACTGTTTAAGTACCTTTGATGCTGTAGTCTCCTCCCTAACCCTTTTTCTCTGAACTGGAACCTCACCCTCTGCTACACCCAACCCAGATGTAAGAACGATGTGAACACACTAGTAACAAAGTACAGGACTTAAGAAGAAAGCCGTGCACACTTTTACTCTGGTCCCATTCACTCGCAGATGGTACTTCATGGACCACGATCTTCTGCTTTCTCTTTCCTTTTTCTCCACAGGCTCGACACAGTCGACCAACCCTTTAACAAAAGCAGCCTTTTCTGATTTTACATTTTATTTATAATCAAACGCCTCCTTCAGAGCAAAACGTTATCGCCGTGTTCCACAATGACGGGCTACCTAAACGAATTAGACGGTTAGAATTCTTCAGTCACGGAAGTCAGTCGGAATATACGGTTAGAATTTCTCTTTAAAACAAGACTTTTGTTTGTCAAAATTGTTCTAGATTTTAATAGGACATAGCCATTCGTCATGTAGATCTATTTTCAGGAAAAAAGAATTTTATTTATAATCAAACGCCTCCTTTAGAGCAAAACGTTATCGCCGTGATCCACAATGGCGGACTACCTAAACGAATTAGACAGTTAGAATTCTTCAGTCACGGAAGCCAGTCTGAATATACGGTTAGAATTTCTCTTTGAAACAAGACTTTTGTTTGTCAAAATTGTTCTAGATTTTAATAGGACGTAGCCATTCGTTATGTCGATCTATTTTAAGGAAAAAAGCAATTCGAGAAAATTTCGAGTTAGACGGTTAGAATTCTCTGCCGACGATATGGTATGGAGGATTCATACTCCAATTCTATTGTGTTATTGTATCAAACCCTATTATAATAGCAATGTAGATGTGTAGGCCATTATGCATGCTCTTTGTTTTGGAGTGGATTTTTTTGGGGGGGGGGGGTTCATTTTGGACTTGTGCTGGCCTTTTTACATGAGGCCCGTTGCAGGTTCTTTTTTGGGGTAGGCCTAGGGTTAGGGTTAGGTCTCTTCTTTATTGTGTTTGTTGGGGTGGTCGCTCGTTACTCGGAAAAGTCCTTCCTTATGACACCCACAAAATTTAAGCTCTTATTGGGGGGGGGGGTGCGCGCAAAATTTTCAGACAATCTGGTTGAGGCTCACATGCAGGTCTAGCTACTGAGTTCATATTTTACCGGCCGCGTTTGTGATAATTACGTTCGGCTTTCCCCAGTCCGAGAGTACGTTCCACGCGAATAAGCGGCTATGGCGGCAGGCGGAAGTGTAGGTGTAATACTAAAACTTCATCGGGAAAATCAAAATCTACTTTCGTTTACCGCTCAGAATTTTACAATGATAGTTTGTTAACGTTAGATTTACCGTTAATAAAAATTTGTAACATGCAGTTTGTGCATAAAAAACACAGTGTCTCTGTACAAATTAAATCGATATTCTCGCTGATGTCACTATATCTATAATGACAAAAAAAGGAAGAAAAAGAAAACAAGCGTCCTCCGATTTCTAGATTGTCGGGCCCGTCATCGTGACCGGTCAGTGAGCCTGTGCGCGTTGGCATCGTATGAGGACAGCATGAGTAAGGGACGCCGGCGGTGTTTGGGTAGTCTAAGTTCATTCAAAGTAGGAGCGTTGCAGAGCTTCAGAGTTGAGGGGAGGTGTTTGAGGCAATAAAGTCTACGACAGTAGGATAAGGCCGCGGTGCAAGAAACTGATGCTAAAATAAAAACGATAAGTGGAATTTAAGTGGTTTTGACATTTGACAGTCGAGTGCGTAAATGAGGGAACATTAGAGCACAGGCTTGATGATTGTATCTTCAAGGTTGGTGTTTCCGGATTTGTCATTGATGACAAATTGAATAGTGGCAATGAGGAAATGCCATTTTCAACCCTCGGAAAGCTCTATGTTGGATGCCTATGCATCATGTTGGCTTGTTGCTGATTAACTCTTATCCTGCGTCTGTGCCCAGATGCGTATCTTATCAGCAACCGATTACGTCGGACGTGCCGGGCAGGCCGCCGGGGTCACTCAGTGTGTACTGTTGGTGTACAGCGCGCGCGCGGGGAAACGTGTGTTTTCGCCATGAATACCGTGGGAGTGTGTTAACCGATGATGAAAATTACGCTCTATCCTTCATAGCTTTCTATTTATAAAGTGTTACTAACACATGAATAACCTCCTTTCACAAGCTGAAAAGACATTACGAGTAGTTACGCCCATTCGAATAACCTTTCTGGACGCTCTTGTTGTTATGAATGACCTGAGGTTCAAAAGGGGATAATTTAGGTCAATTTCCGAATGTTTTACACTCAAAATGTTCTTTGTACCTGCACAATGATATTCAAAACTACCAAACAAGCTTATGTTTTATCAGGTAGTATCATTTCATACAAAATCAAGCTCATTTGAAATATTTTGTATAGAAAAATGGAAGTCTTGTTTCCTGACTATCCTTTCGAGCTCCTCATGTCTAAGTGGGTCAATTTCTTCTATAATTTCATTGGACGAACATCTAGAACTACCAACTTTGCATGTTTTGAATGAGACGTATGCCTCGATTACGAACCAACGCAGGCGGTTCTAGAGGAAGGCCACAAACGCACACAAACTCAAGCAGACTTACGCACACACACTTGACCTGCGTGAATGGGGATCCGACTCGGGACCCGAATGACACGTAAGAGGATGCGCGTGCGCTGAGCCAGGAGCTACACTGATTCGGGACCAGAACGTAGGCGAGGTGCCGAAATAGGCTTATCGGGCTACATAAACCCGGCTCCTGCAGGATGAGGGTTAAAAACTGGTACTGTGATATAGAATTTTGAAAAAAAAATATATACTTAGTCCATGATGCAGTGATTCACTGATTGCCAGGTTTTCAGCATCACTACATCCCACGCTCTCACAGTCCTTCCAGCTCCAGCTCTCAGTACACGCTCTCTTTTATTTTCACTTTTTGCTCTGCCGTAAGCATAACTATAAAGGTTTTATAAATTAGTTTTGTCTTGCATGCTTTTTAAAGTCCGTGACTGCTGAAACCAAACATGGTTTTGGCAGTTGATGTTCTTCTTGCCTCTCCTCAGGCCCAGATCAGGATTCATTTTGTATTTTTAGGGTCAAACTAGTTAATATTAATTGTCTGTCATACCTAAGTCACAAAGGACTTATCTGTGTCCTATGCTAGTGACGGGAAATATGTTTTAATATAGTTTCTATCGGTATGGGCTAGCGGTTTTGAAGTCATTTTGGCAGTCACCCTGCGCTCAATTCCAGATTCAATACTGAATGATAGGTGCCTTGAACGATAGTCCATAAATGCTTTTTTTTTTAAATCTCACCTCATTTCATACACACAGTTCATCTTAACTTGTGCACACCCAAACACCCCCTTGCCCTCCCCACATATATAAACACACACGAGAGCATGCGCTCATGCACACACAGACATACACACAGACACACACACACACACATGTGCATGTACAAACAAGTTTTCAAAATATACTTACCCAATATCACGGAAAGCAGGCGCGTTGTCTTTGCACTACCTGATTTTGGGCCAAACTACCTGAAACTGACTTTCTGGATCGATAACAACTACAACCTGAAACTGACCCTGAATCTACCTGAAATAGGAACTTTGAGGAAGGCAGCCCTGTGGATGGGGGGTTCAAAAGCCCAGCCGGTGGGATCAAGGATCGCTTGCCCGATCGTCAAGCAGTGGTCAAAACTTCACACCTTTCAATTGCTATCCTGTCTGATAATGACATGCGTCAGTCTTACTTATCCAATTACCACCAGTGTTTGCCTTTCATAGGACCACTGTTTGACCTGTTAAAAACGGAAACGTTTGAACATCTCCTTTGCTTCCACCCCTAACCCAACCCATTGGTATAACAAGCACAGTCAACCAATGCTACCCCTCACTGCCATCATTTAACATCGATTCGAGGAACTCTTTTCTCGGTTGGCCGTACCAGGGCGGCAGGCATTGGTCAAACTAATTTCACACCTCTGGCTTCTGGCTACCAAGGAAAGTTTCTGTAATGGCTCGCTACTCGAGCACTCTCACGGGCAGTCTTGAGATTTCAAACCCACACCACCCTGACCATCTGCATCGCTCAAGGCTCACATGATGGGGTAACATCTACCCCCAAATTGTTCCCCTTCCTCGCCCAGCGGCATGGCCATGGCGTTAAGTTTAGAGCCGGCGGAACCAAATTTGCTAGTTTTGTTTCAAATCAGGGCTGAGCCGGCAAAGCATTTTCCGTCTATGACAGGTGAAACCCTCAGAAGGGAGCGGATTTTTCTTTCCGTTTCCGCGTAGGATAGGTTTCCATTTAATACAGGTAATTTAAAGAGGAATATTCCAAGGGGGGAGCGGGGAGCTTCCGTTTTATACAGGTTTCCGTTAAGGCAGGTTTGTCTGTATTCTAAAATGTGAAGAATTCAACCCCGGGGATACAAAATGACCCCAGAGTGTATGGATAGGGTTAAATATGTTGTTGTTTCCTTTGTTGAATGAATCATTTCAAGTGTGGGGATGATTTGAGTTTGGGTACATTTCAGTGTAATGCTATACTCAAGTAGCTCTCTCTCTTTTCTCCCCACAGTGAAAGCAATCAGAAATCTGAATGGTCACTCTGTGGGTCAGTACAGAATTCATGCTGGCAAAACAGTTCCTATTGTCAAAGGTGGAGAAGCTACCCGCATGGAGGTTAGTCTTGCTGTGAGATGTTTTGTTGATGTTATCAGGCATTTCACAGTCGAAACTGCTCAGACAGCCGCCCATTGTCGATGGAAAAATGGCCGTCTTACACAGTGTCATTTTTTATGGAAAAAATACAAGGGAAGAAATGGGAAATGACCATTTGTACAGGTGGTTGTCTTGGACCGATGGCCATAGAGCAGGCTCAACTGTACTTTCTTTGGGGTTTCATAATATTTTATTTTATTTTATATCTTGTACCGGGGGGGGGGGGGTGTCCTGAAATTGGTTTTTGTATTCTATCCTTTAGTTTCTTGTACACTTCATTTTGTTCTTTCAAGGGACTTTGGGGATTTTCTTTAAGAAGCTTAATCATTGTTTTGCAATAAAGGACAAACAAGGTATTCCATGAAAACTGAACACATTCGACTTGAACTCATTCAAAAACGAAAAATCTTTATGGGGCCCTTACCTGTCCCCGTCGTTTTATGCAAGAAAAATTCTGAAATTGTGCAAACTGAGCCCAAAAATGAGAAATTATGCAATTCTCTTAGTTTTAACAAAGAATAATAAAGGAAAATAATCAGAAATGATGCAAAAAAATGATCAAATTTTGCTGAATTATGCGGGGTGCATAAAACCACGGGGACTGCCTTACTCCGTAAATTTGACGTTAATTCACAATCTGTAGACTAAACAGGTGCATAAAATTCACATCCTGCAAGGTGCAAAGTAAAAGTCAACAGATTTTACGAGACGTGATTGAGTAAAGAGAAGCACATCGACATGATGACAGTCATTTAATACAAGGAGAAGAGTAAGAAAGGCAGACAGAAAGGAAGAAAAAAAGGAGGGGGGGGGGGAGAAGGACATACGAGTACCACCCTCCAACCACCTGGGATTTAACAAGATGTCAAGCAGGTTTTGTGCTGTTTTATATTCCCACCCTGATTTTTTTTCCCTCCCTTTTTGCTTTGTGGGTGATTGGCGAGTGTTCTGGTGTGGTTTGCTCCTTCCCTATCAAACAACTGTTGTCCTTCTTTTTGGTGTTTGTTACTCTCTTGTAACACCTCTAATCCTCAGCACTTGTACAACCTAATTGTGTTGCAAGTGCTGTAAAACTACTCTTACTAAAATAAGTAAAACAAACTTTTTGCTTTCCAAGGAAGGAGAGGTGTATGCAATAGAAACCTTCGGCAGCACTGGCAAAGGTCACGTCCACGATGACATGGAAACATCACATTACATGAAGAATTACGAGGTCGGCCATGTTCCCCTCAGGTGAGTCTCTTTCTCTAGAAATGTAAGGCCCCACACAAACTATATAAGTTTCCTCTCGTGGCACAGTTCTGAGTATGCAAATTAAACAGTTTTTGCCCATTCATCTCTTTTCACCACCTAGTGTTTGCAGAGCCTTCCTTAACACCAGACCTGCCACTTTAAGAAATCTAAAAGTCAGAGGGGAAAATCGGGATCTACGACAAATCAGCGAGGTGACTGCCAAGCTGACTTGTAAATTTTCAATGGGTGTCCATAAATACGTCCATATACAGGATGATCCAAAAAAATAACTGTACAACTTTTTTTGTGAATATCTCGCATAAAATGTGTACTAAAATGTTGTAATTTGGAACAGATAACATTAATTCAAAAGGAATTTGTTTGACATAAAATTCACAAAGAAGAAACTTATTTTAAAAAACGAAAAAAAATTTTCTATAAAAAAAACACCTATAAATCAGTGCTTCCAGTTTTCCGCAAATGGAAAAATTTCTGTGAAAATTTGTTCTCGAATAAATAATTTTTAAAAAATGTTTTTTTTTAATGCGAAATAAAAATTGTACATAATTACTAATAGTCAACAATTGCCAACCCATACCGGAAGTGCTCTTTTCTATGAGAGTGTAGACAGTGTTTTTTACTTTCACTTCTAAAGCACAAGCAGAACACCAGCACTGTAAACAAGACGAAGAAATGTGGTTCAATAGGTCTTGGGCCTAACAAGAAAAGAAAACTAAAGAGAGCTTAACTTTTTATCAGACTTGTTTACTTGTAAATATTGTTGTGGATTTAAGTTGAATGTAAGCTGTCAAGTTATTTAGATCTAGCTGTTATACTATTATGGGTGTACAGTACAAGGGAGAACAGCATGCCATGGTTTTGGATTATATGGATTCTACACATTATGATGCAAACCAACACAAGCAGAAAAAAGTTGAATATTATATGTCAAGTTTTATAGATCTAACTGTCATACTACTGTTATGGATGTACAGTACTGTTACAAGGGGAAAAGCATTGCCTTGGATTTATATGAATTAACACAAGCAGAAAATTATGTGTATGCAAGGTATGTTTTTTTCTCACCTATTTTCTGGTTAAATTTAGGCTTGAATAGCCAGAAATGGCATATTTAGGATGCCGTGAAACCCAAAAAATCTCAAACATAGCGTCCCCCTTGAACCTCCTATCAGGGCGCTGCCCTGGACCCGAAAATCCTCGAAAAATGACTTCAGCTGCTGGAAGCTCTGATAAATGCAAAATGTACCAATTTAAAAGTGCTTGTAAAGAAAGTCTTGAGATGATTAGTTTGCTTTTTTTCCTTTCCTTTTATTTTTTAAATCTAATCTTTCCATCCATGTAACCTTTGAACATTTCTTTTCTCCTACAGAGGTGTTTTGTTTTTTTTAATCTGGAATTCCGAGAACAAATTTTAATGGTTTATGTCCTCCTTTGGACTCGACACATTTAAACGCATCGTTGGTAATGCTCATGGAGGCCAAACACAAGGATCCACTCAACCATGAGTACTCAAAGCCCCTTAATACACTGTACATCTTACAGTATGGAGCTGTTTCTAGAGACAATGGGGGGATGAGCTTGCCGAAATAGCATTTGTGGAGTTGATAGGCTATAACCTGAAAGTTGAATATAGGGCCTATTACACGTGCAGGCCGACCGGATAGGTTTCTGAGCCGTACGGCCAATCGTAACGAGTAATAAGAAATGCGGCTCAAACCGTAGGTGAATGGCCGGCCGGCCGGATGTCATGGACCCTCAGCCGCTGCCTGTGAATTTGATGTCCGGCCATCCAGCCTTGAGGGATTTGGCGACTATCTTTGAAGTTTGCTGCGCCGGGGACAACAAAACTAATTTCAAAATTATAGAAAATCACGTCGTAGATAAAAAATAATACCAGATTCTGAATCAGCGTATCAAATTCATGGAAATGACGCGCAAATGACTTGTTTCGTTTTGCATTTAAGGATTTTCCATTCCTGTATATTTTTATGTTTTGCGCGCCATGATGCACACAATTCTCGCAATTCTACATCTGAAAGCATAATAATGCGAAGTTTTTCCAAATTCTGCCAAAAATCAAAATTCCGGGGGGCGGTTGATCCACAGAAAACTATAATGTTGGCCAAATGTACGTCAACCTCTTCTGCTATGCCTACCTCCCACCCCCACCCACGTATAGTTGGCAGGGGCTCTGGTTTGGCTTTCTTCTTTCCTGTCTAAAATCTGTTATCTTTATCTCTCCTCCTTCTTTTATTTGTATGTTACTATCTAGAAACACCTCTAATCTTTAGTTCTTATATGACCTAATTGTGTTGAAAGTACCATAAAACCCTTACTAAAACTAAGCTAAAACCTCCCACCCATCCCTTCTCCAGACTGGCCAAATCCAAGCAACTGCTCAATGTGATCAACCAGAACTTCGGCACCCTGGCTTTTTGTCGCCGCTGGCTGGACCGACTTGAGCAGACCAAGTACCTTATGGCCCTAAAGAACCTCTGCGACTCAGGCATCATCGACCCGTACCCACCGTTGTGCGACCAGAGAGGCTGCTACACAGCCCAGTTTGAGCACACCATCATCCTCAGGCCGACGTGTAAAGAAGTGGTTACCAGGGGGGACGACTACTGAGTGCGCCATATGCTTTCTTTCTTTTCTTTTTTTTGTGCTGAATGATGAGATTGTGGTTTTCTACTTGGGGATGTGTGGGTGTGTGCCGTCATTGTCTATCAAAAGATACCTCTCCATAGGTGATGATAGATATCAACTGTTAAGTGTAATACTCCACATTACGCCATTTTGAAAAGTGATGCCTGAAGAGTCTAACACTGAGCAGTTTATGTGACTGAAAATGGAGGTTAAATTTTGCTCTTGACACTTGAAATGCATTTTTTATTCTTTAGGATGAAAAGATAATTTGTAGGTGCTTCTGGGTCCTCTCTGTATGCACTTCAATCTGTGAGGTTAACTACAGCTGTCTCTTTGAGCATGTTCTGTCTCTCTACTGTCTTTATGTTTCTCAAGCACCAAAGCTTGTGCTGTTTATAGTTACAAGTAATAAGAATCCTTAGCTGGTTGAGGCTTATTATACTCGGAGCGTAGTTGTAGGAACTATTAATTATTATTATTATAAATAATTGTTAGTTTAGTTATTATTATTATTATTTGTTTGTTTTGATTATATTTACATTTGCAGTTTTAAGTCTGTTTTGTTGACATTTGCTGGCGTCTTTTGTTGGTGGTCTGCTATTCCCATGTGGGGAAAATGTTCACTTTGGCTGATCTGAGCTGCTGTAGTTTTCAGCAATAGAAATGATGATAATAATAGATTACATTTGGATAGCGCTAATTCTCACTCAGCAAGTTCTATGCGCTTTACAATCTATATTATGCTGTCTCTTTCATTGATCACAACTGTAATACTTGTTAGGGTTATTTTTTTTCTCTTTGCCCCTGTTGTTTCAAGTTTATTATCTCTGTGATGTAAGTTTTCAAACGTTCTTAATTGCTTTAAAAAATGTGGGGTTTGTTAAGAGTTTACTAGGATGGATGGTGAAAAATTCTGCAATTTGAAATGTTTTCTTTTACTCATTTATCTGGCCCTGTGTCTAGTTTTTGTCATCTTTAGTCAATAGTAAAGTGAAAGGGGGGGGGGGATTGTTGCATTTGTCTGTCAAAAGTTTAGTGTGGTTTCCTTTCATTAAAGCTTCTGTCACACAAAAAGAAAAATTGTAGGCTTGTATTCTTTTAATACACTTAGTTTGTTCTTACCTGTTGAAAAAACAAAATGAGTACCGGTATCCTGAAATTTTGGGCGAGCGGGTCTTTCATTTATCAAAATGAAAACTTTTTCCCTGGGCCAAAATTCAAGATTTGAACCTGGAATAGGACCTGTAGCATATGATGTGGTTTGGCACTTTGATTTTTTCTTGGGGGTAAACATTTGTTTCCACAATATGTACGAATGATGAATAGTCAGTTCTGAGGCAACTGCGTAAGACTGATAAGTTCTTGGCGGCATCTGTTTGAAACTCACATGTTCCAGCCATCCACCACGTTTGTAAGTTTGTTGCCTTGCTTCCCCTTGAGAAATAAAGACTTTTATCAAGTCTAGTTTTCTGGAGTTCTTGTCATTCTTTCATCATCATCATCATCATCATCATCAACATCATCCTCAACAGCAGGAGTAAAGCCCACCAACAAGAGTTCTGCATGTCCTTCTGTCCTGGGCTATAGTCTCCACCTTTGTCCAGCTTCTCATTGTGGGTGGTTGGCGGGTGCTCTGGTGTGGATTGCTCCTTCTTTCCTATCAAACATCTATCGTCTTTATCTCCCCTCCTTCTTTTTTATATTTGTTACTCTCTTGTAATGCCACTAATCTTCTGGCGGTCATTTGACCTTATGCAGTTGTGAGCGCAGTAAAACCTCTACTAAAACAAAACAGCTTCTCATTGCAGGTGGTTTGCTTCTTTCCTATTAAATCTATCGTGGGAGGTGCTCTGGTGTGGTTTGCTTCTTCTTTCCTATCAAACATCTATCGTCCTTATCTCCCTTTCTTCTTTTTTATGTTTGTTACTCTCTTGTAACACCTCTAATCTTTTGGCGCTCATATGACCTTATGCAGTTGCAAGCGCCGTAAAACCCTCTACTAAAGAAAAACAAAAAAAACATCTATCGCCCTGATCTCTCCTCCTTGTTTGTGTTTGTTACTCTCTTGTACACCTCTAATCTTCAGCACTTAAACATGTATAACGTTACTGTGTTGCTAATGCTGTAAAACTCGTGCTAACAAAGCTTCTCTTTCTCTATTCAATACTTTTTGTATGGGTAGATAGAGATCGCTCCTATGTGGTCTCTTCCTTTTACAGTGCTTCCAATCTTCCGTAATTTTACAGAGATCCATACTTTCTGGAAGTTCCATACTTGCTCCCCCATCATTATCAACTCAATCCGTAAAAAAGTGCAATAGCGTAAGGCTACTGATATTCCATAGCAAAGGATCCACACTCGTCTTTGTATCGTCTTGAAAAGTACCGGAAATTTACAGTTCTTTTCTCGGCAATAAGTTAATGTTATAGAAACCTATCGGATTGCACATTTCCTGCTTTTGGCCGTTACCTCTCTATGGTGCATTCATTGCGGGTTGATCGGCAGTACATTTTAACCTGCGGATTGGTCAAAATCTGGATAGTCATGAAAGCAAACTTTTTGTCCTCCTTTCTTTCAACCATTCTTTCTGTCTATCTTTGGATTGTTGCAGCAGCTGGAAAATCTGTTTGTTGATCAAGTAAATTGAATTGTGAGTTTAGAAAGGAAATCACTATCAGAAAGAAGGTTTTTTTCAAATTTTAGATCCCGTGAAATAATGTCTGTGTGATGATTTTATGGGAGCGTGATAAAGGCTGCAGTAAAAGAAATGTCCTCATGCTAAAACAGTAAAAATGAAGAACAATTCAAAGTGGTGTTCCAAGGGTGTGACATTCGTCATTGGAATACAGTGGAACTCGGATTCAACGAGGTCGCCGGGCCTGAGCTAAAATCTCGTTGAATCCGAGTGTTCGTTATATAACTTATAGCAAACACGAGGTTTTGTGCAGATAATTACAGGCTCTGAGCAAGTAATGTATAAAGAGAAGTTACAAGTACTGCGTGAAATGCCTGCATATTATGAGGTGTGTAAAAAAAAGACCGATTCGTTCAAATGCACACGCATGTGTCATCTCGATTGTTTACCAAAAAGTTGTGTTGCTGTGTAGAGCCTAGTATACGGCCACTTTAGATTCCATAGACCAGCGCAAATTCATTGCGTAGATCTACGTGAAGACTAGCTTATCATTGTAATAATGATCAATTGTCGAGGGGGGGGGGAAAGACTGTGCCGCGTTTGTATCTGCGATGTTCAACGCCCCCCCCCCCCCCCCGACACGCACACACAGCCACACATGTACAGGCCGCCCATCCGACCTCGACACACGCTAGAGTAGACACGTGCGCATGCCTAGAATGAATGTGTTGGTATACATGGTATGAAAAAAGGCCGCTGATTGGTCCCATGCAATCGGCTAAGTGAATAATGGTTCACGATGCAGGTGCAATGGATGGTTTCCGGAAATAGTTAAAGTTCGTTCTGGGAGAAAAATGAGTCTGCGGGGGTTTTTTACCATGGAAGCGACCTCGTTGAATCCGAGCTCGCTGATTTAAGAGCTCGTTGAATCCAGGTTATTATATTTTTTTTTTAAGAAGAAAAAAAAAGGGGGAATCTATGTCATCTCGTTGAATCCGAGTTCTCGTTGAACCCGAGATCGTTAAATCCGAGTTCCACTGTATGAAAATGAAAATAGAGGAAAATAACGGCTACATGCTGGGTGACTGTATTGGCAAGATTGAATTCATCATTCCCAGATTTGCCTGCTGCCAATAGTGCGATGACATTGGAGTAGGCCTAGAGTAGCAATGACATGGGGAACTTGCTCTTTAAAAACATTGCCATCAAGGGAAAGCGGTGTTGGTGAAGAAATAAAATTAGAGAAAATCTTGGTGAAAAAATAGATGTTATTAGTTGTTGTCAATTTCTTCAAACAGGCTCCTAAATGCCATTTTCAACCCTCTAAAAACACTAAATTTCAATTCCTTCAGGGGGTTTCTCCTCCTGAGCCCTCACCGGGATGCTGTCCGTGGACCGTGCTTTTCACCTTTGTTAGAAGTAGTAGAAGCACTACTTTTCACTGTTTCTGTTATCCTTGTTTGTTCTTGGCTAAGTGTGGCCAACCTTGTGTTGTAAACTGAATCTGATATGTCCGTGACTTCTGCTTTTTTTTTTTTCTTATAATAAATTTTATGTTGTGAAAATTGAGCTTGCTTGCTGCAATCAGTTCCACCATGCAAAAAACTGAGATTGTACCTGTGCAGTCTGTACCCTCTGACTTCTGGTTTTCTATGCTTGAGCATTTTATTGTACATTCTTCAGCACCACTGTTTTAATTATCAGCCAATATGTGCTTTCTCTCCGTGTTCTTTATGGACTCTTTTTTTAATAGTTATATTATGTGTGATTGAGTTGTTGGCGGGTGCTCTGGTGTGGTTTGCTCCTTCCCTTGTGCCAAACATGTATTACTCCTCCTTTGTTTGTGTGTGTTACTCTCTTGTAACTACTATTCTTCAGCACTTCTCTGACCTTATTGTGTTGCAAGTGTCGTAAAACTCCAACTAACTTGAGATGGGTTTTTTTCATAGCTGTCAACGGTATGTACATAAAGAAAAAACATTGAATGATACAGTGGAACTCTGTTTCAGTGAAAGAAGTTGGATTCCACGGGGGTTTTTTTTTCTTTTCATAAAAATCAATAAAGATAACTTGGATTCAACGAACATATAAACGAGCAAGCTCGGAATAATCGATTTCATCGAAAAATCGCTTGCAGGGTAAACTGCCTCATGCGACCAATCAGCGGCCTGTTTTCATAGCAGCACACGTGTTGTTAGCACGCACACATGTCTCAGCCAGCGTGTGTCGGGGTTGGGCGGGCGACCAGCACACGTGTGACTGTGTATGCGTGTA